CAGAACTTTCTTTTCAATAAGGATGTAGGCAATTTTACCAGAGGTGGTCAGCATCAAGAAAAGATGATTTAGGCAAAAAATACATTTTCTCCAAAATATGACTTAGGCCATTAGTTTAAGAAGGTGACGATATGGATTTAATCCCAAAATCCACCTTTCAGTGTTTCAATGGTTCCTCGTGGATGCTCAACATGCTGGGAATAAAACTGCACTCAAATATAAATGATGTGTTTATCTTTCAGAGGAAATTGAAGAAGAAGAAGATGACTCTGTTAATGCCTCAAGAGGCGCTGTGGATTCAAAGAGAACCCGTCCAGGTGCATCATGAACACAAAACAATCCACATTTAATATTCTCAACATGGGATTTATGTAGCAATCACAGTGTTCAGAAAAGGGAGTAAAGAAAGTTGAAAGTGTGAATATTTAATCGTCTCTTTTTGTTCTACATGTATCCTAAGCATCTGTGACTGTCATGTTGTTTAGGTTTTTTAACAGAATGCTTGTTTTTCAGGCCGGAGGTTTGTTCTTCCGATAGCAGTGTGTTGGATCGTACTGTTAGCCATCATGGGTCTCCGTATCTACTGTGAGTATCTTCTGAGTGAAAGTCAGTTCAACAGTTTGTATTAGATGTGACCTGAAGCTCTGTAACTCCGTCTGTTGATCCAACAACATCTCCTCTCTCGTTTGCTGCAAAGATTCTGCAATAGGAGGCTGAAATGTGTGTTAAGGGAAGTGTGTGTGTTAAGGGGGAAGTGTGTGTGTTAAGGGGGAAGTGTATGTGTTAAGGGGGAAGTGTGTGTGTGTGAAGGTGTCTGCTTGTGTTCTCCATCATTTGCAAAAGGCAGTGGTTTGAAATGTCAGAGCTGTTGTAAGAAGTCTACAATACAGAGGAGACCAGTCGCTTTCCAAATGCATGTAGCTCGTTGCTTTGTGAAGCAAACATGGGAACCCTTTCTTCAATGTTTATCAAGAACATTCAAACACTCAGAGACACAAGCCTTACAGCCCAACACCTTCCTCTGTCTGTGTCTGTAGTGACCTCTGAACTTTCAGGAAACAATGCCGAGCTGTACTCACGAATCCAGGAGCTGGAGACACGGGAGAACAACTTGACACAGAAAATACAAGACATGACAGCAGGAGTCCAGGAGCTGACAACAAAAAACCAGGAGCTGGAGAAAAAGACGAAGAACTTGACACAGAAAATACAAGACATGACAACAAACTGGAATGAGCTCAACGTCAGTCGAGCTCAGTGGAGCATCGATTCCTACTGCTTAGGAAACACCGGTATGTTCAGATCCTATATATTAGGTTACAATTACAATATGTTCAAAAGGCAGGCATGTTGTTGATTGTTTGGACTCTGTTGTTTCAGAGGATAAGTGTCAACCTTGTCAGAAGGGCTGGTTACTCACTGAGCCCAGCTGCTATGTGTATATTAACGCTCAGCCTGCTAATCAAAAAACCTGGGAAGAAGCTCGAGGAGACTGCAGAGGAAAGAATTCATATCTGGCTGTTGCACATGATTCAGATGAAAAGGTAAACCCATGAATATGACGCACTTAGAAAGTAATTGTGTTTTGTTTGAACACACTTTGGGTCTTTAGGTCATTATGTGTTTATTACAGTTTAATGTTTAAATATCTGACAACTCTCTCTCTGTTTTCCAGGAAGCAATCGAGGAAAACAGCTTTGGAAATAGAGGATTCTGGATTGGTCTGAGAGTTGAAGATGGGAAATGGAAGTGGGTGGATGGAAGTGATCTGACTGAAAGGCAAGAGACACATTACTAAACACTTTGAATAATACAATCTATCAGCCTTTCTCTAAACATCATGTTCTTTCCTCAGCTCCTGGATAGATCATCCTGTTGACGGTCGCTGTGCATTGTTTTTCAAGGGCAGAAACACATGGTCATCAGTGAGCTGTGGTGAGAAACATCAATGGATCTGCCAGAAGAAGGCTCTCTCTGTTTAAACAAAGCAGTCATACTAAGAAAGTTACTGGAAACTCTTTGAGAAAAAGATGAATTACTTAAAATAAAAATAAAAAAGGTTAAAAAACAGTAATTCCAGAAACGTTTCTCAAACTGGATACAAACAATAAAACATAAAAGTTAACTCATAATGTGGATTATTTTAAAATCGATGTACTTTCAGTTTGACTTCATTTCTATGGAGCTTGCTAAATTAATGCAAATATGTATTTCTTTAACATGTGATGGTGTTTTTATTAGATATGGATGGTTAAAATAGTTAAACTGTTTAGTGTGAATAATGTTATTCTATTGTGTTAGAGATGCAACGCTTCAACTCTGCAGATTATTGCAAAGACTATGGACCATGTTATTGAATTGCTTCTACCGGCCAGCAGAGGGCGCTGCATCACTTGATCTCAATACAATGTTCCAGAGTCTGTTAAATAACTATTTTTCAAGGTTCAAAGGTTTATCGTCATGACATTTAGAAACTACGGTGTGATTATGTAATGTATAAAACATGTGATCTCAGGTTCCTTAACAGTGCAATTAACAAGACATAAGAAATACATATAAAAAACAACTATACAAATAGAAATAGTGCAAGCTCAGGTGTTTAATAGTCTGATGGCCAGTGGGATGAAACTGTCCCTGATGCTATTCTGATGACGCACAGTTTATGGATGATTTGTATCTGTCTGTATTTGTGTCTATGAGCAATGTCTTGTTTCACTCTGTTGTCACCAGTGAATAAATATGCTGCCACACATTGTTGTTTTTGTATTTCTCTTGAAAACATCAGTGCTTTAATCAAGTCCTCAATATCCAGTCACTCTGTCAACATGTCAACATCAGCACCAGCAGAGTTTCAGAGAGGGACAGGAAGTGGAGGTGGATCGGATGATAAACTAAGGTGAAAAACGCTGATCGACAGCCACACATTGGGGCTGTGGGATTGGTGTCGAGGTCTCTGAGGAAGCATCATATTGGGTATTTTATCTTTATCAAATGAAGCTCCAGTCTTTTTTTCTGGTTTTACATTAAAGTCAAAATATGTTTGGCTGTTCTGTTTCTGACCATCAAGAAGCCCAGCGGTAGCAACAGACACCTCAACTTAACCCAGAAGAACCCGGACACATTTCTACTTTCGGGGAAATGAAGGGGAACATCATTTAGACTAAACAGACCATCGAACACATTTCTGACAAGTAACCCCCCCTAGTGTCAAATATCTGAACTGTGACATATATGTCACATTGAGCTTTCATGGTAAAATAACTCTTATTAATGAGGATGATGGTTTAAATGAGTTTGAACATTCTTTGAAGAATAAAGAATATATTAACTAAATATAATTGAATCAGCTAAATTAACTGAGCAGATCATAATCATATTTCTAATTGTACATAATGTCACTCCGGGTTCACTGTGAAAGTTTAGGGTTAACGTCCCGATGTGACACCAGTGTCACAGCGATGTTTGTCTCATTTGTTTCATATCAATTTGATCAATACATGTTTACACAACAGGTTAAATGTAATAAAGGAAATGTTATGTAAGCATTTTAATTCTACTTTACCTTTAGCAACAAACAAAAAGCTTTTGAAATGTAGCTCGTTCCGTCCCATGTGTTAGCCTGGCACATGGACATCTTGGACATGTTGTTATGGTAACACAACATCAAATGACCTTAGGGACCTCATGAGATAAAAACAAGGCAACAGCTGTATAAGGAACTTTCTAGAACATTTAAAGGTCATGTGACACCTGTCATGGTGGGTCCTTATGGGTTAAGCAAAGATACTTAGTGTTTATTCTGTAACATCACGCTAAGCCTGTTCATCTTGCCATGTTTAGTTCTTGTTACTAACGTCACGTTTAGGTGTTCGTTATCAGGTTTATCCTAAAGGTTTCATGTTTAGTTCATAGCCCATGTTTAGGGTTAGGGTTTAGTCATGTCTCGTTGTTAACGTGTTCATTTACTGTCACTTATGTTACGGCCCGGCTCCTGACCCACAACAAAAACCCTAGAGTCGAGACGAGGTGCAGCAATATAACAATAGTTTATTTATATTTAAACAAATGAAGCCAGCAATAGGTCCCCCGAGGCTGGCACAGAGAGAGTGCCAGAGGAATGAGCGCGAGGGACGAATCCGGTTGGGCTCTCTTCAAGTAGGCTTCCTCGACCCAGGTGCAGCTCATCAGGCAAATGCCGGCCCCACAGCACTGGATCGACCCCTCGTGGTGTGGAGAGGTCATCACACTTATGTCTTGTCTCGTCTGTCATTGCACTTCCTGTTTTATTTACCTGTCTCTTTTCAGAGCTCTTGACTTTCACACCATTTGTGTGTTTTCCCGCCACTGTGATTGTCGGCCTCAACCTTGATTGTTTCCGCCTGTGTCCCATGAACTCTTCTATAAATACTCCTCGTGTCCCTTTGTCCTGTGCCAGTTCGTCTTGTTTCATACAATGTCAAGAGAGCCAGAGTTTTCCAAGCTAACATCTTCAGTTTCAAGAGCCACATTCAGTTAGTCTTCTTGTACTTTAGTGTGGAGTCGTGCAGATGAGTCCAAGTCTCTGTGTCACTTCCCTGAAACATGTATTAATCACTTCAATGTTGCAGCTGAAACAGAAGGATTGAGTCGTGTTTAAATGATATACTGTTAGATATCTTGTGAGTTTCTTCCTCATATATAACAATATAACATATATCTGATAATTGGAGTGGAAGTGTAAAGTAGCAGGAAATTGAAAATTCTCAGTAAAGTAAAGTACATCAAAAATGTTGCAACTACTACAAATTCATAATTTTACCGAAAGCCAATCAGAGCACACTGGGCTTTTCAGAAGGGCTTCTAAGGAGACAAAGTGTTTGTCCTTGTCGTTTTCTCTCATGTTGCTCGTCAAAGTTATCAGTACGTAAATCAAGCCAAATAAGGGCAAAACTATTTGAGAAGTTGCAACATGTCTGACCCTGACGCACATTAAAACGTTACACCATAACCTCAGAGCAGAAGTCGACTGAAGAGCGTCACATCAGAGCAGACCCTCTCTGACAGCCTCAGGTCTGCAGCAGGACTTCAGACTCTCCTCCAGGATGAACAGAAGAACTCAGCAGGAAATGGGTAATTCAATATATTCTAATTTGTGAGTGAGTGTAAAACATTGCTTTTTCCTTTTACCGAGACATTGTCTAAAAATGTTCCTATTCATAGTGTTTCTGATTCTTGACCAGATCTGAGCAACAAAGGGTTTAAAATAACATTTATTTCAAATTTGATCTTTAAAATTGTGATTTTCAAACTCTGATAAACACAGAATTATAAATTCAATGCATTTGTTTCTCTCAGAATAAATTGAGTAAGAAACTGGCGATGTCTCAACATCTTCTTACGACAAAATCTAAAAAGTCAGATTTTAGTTTGTCTAATGGATTTAGTTTCAGCAGAAAGATATTTGTTTGTTATTTTAAAGAAAATGTCAGCGTGAGAACCGAACAATTCTCTGTGTGTGGTTTTTAGTTCTGCTTTAGATTCATATCTGGAGTTTAACGTTACTCGTACATTAAGACTCAACACATTTGTTATCTCTCTATGTAGAAGTGCGTTGTTGACTTCTGCTTCTGATCCCTTACATAACGGCTACTGTTTTTAAATATCGGTTTAATCCCAAAATCCACCTTTCAGTGTTTCAATGGTTCCTCGTGGATGCTCAACATGCTGGGAGTAAAACTGCACTCACATATAAATGATGTGTTTATCTTTCAGAGGAAATTGAAGAAGAAGAAGATGACTCTGTTAATGCCTCAAGAGGCGCTGTGGATTCAAAGAGAACCCGTCCAGGTGCATCATGAACACAAAACAATCCACATTTAATATTCTCAACATGGGATTTATGTAGCAATCATAGTGTTCAGAAAAGGGAGTAAAGAAAGTTGAAAGTGTGAATATTTAATTGTCTCTTTTTGTTCTACATGTATCCTAAGCATCTGTGACTGTCATGTTGTTTAGGTTTTTTAACTGAATTATTGTTTTTCAGGCCGGAGGTTTGTTCTTCTGATAGCAGTGTGTTGGATCGTACTGTTAGCCACCATGGGTCTCCGTATCTACTGTGAGTATCTTCTGAGTGAAAGTCAGTTCAACAGCTTGTATTAGATGTGACCTGAAGCTCTGTAACTCCGTCTGTTGATCCAACAACATCTCCCTCTCGTTTGCTGCAAGATTCTGCAATAGGAGGCTGAAATGTGTGTTAAGGGAAGTGTGTGTGTGAAGGGGGAAGTGTGTGTGTTAAGGGGGAAGTGTGTGTGTGAAGGGGGAAGTGTGTGTGTTAAGGGGGAAGTGTGTGTGTGTGAAGGTGTCTGCTTGTGTTCTCCATCATTTGCAAAAGGCAATGGTTTGAAATGTCAGAGCTGTTGTAAGAAGTCTACAATACAGAGGAGACCAGTCGCTTTCCAAATGCATGTAGCTCGTTGCTTTGTGAAGCAAACATGTGAACCCTTTCTTCAATGTTTATCAAGAACATTCAAACACTCAGAGACACAAGCATTACAGCCCAACACCTTCCTCTGTCTGTGTCTGTAGTGACCTCTGAACTTTCAGGAAACAATGCCGAGCTGTACTCACGAATCCAGGAGCTGGAGACACGGGAGAACAACTTGACACAGAAAATACAAAACCTGACAGCAGGAGTCCAGGAGCTGACAACAAAAAACCAGGAGCTGGAGAAAAAGACGAAGAACTTGACACAGAAAATACAAGACATGACAACAAACTGGAATGAGCTCAACGTCAGTCGAGCTCAGTGGAGCATCGATTCCTACTGCTTAGGAAACACCGGTATGTTCAGATCCTATATATTAGGTCATCATTACAATATTTTCAAAAGGCAGGCATGTTGTTGATTGTATGGACTCTGTTGTTTCAGATGATAAGTGTCAAGCTTGTCAGAAGGGCTGGTCACTCACTGAGCCCAGCTGCTATGTGTATAATGACGCTGAGACTGATAATCAAAAAACCTGGGAAGAAGCTCAAGGAGACTGCAGAGGAAGGAATTCAGATCTGGCTGTTGCACATGATTCAGAGGAAAAGGTAAACCCATTAATATGACGCAATTAGAAAGTAATTGTGTTTTGTGTAGGTTTGAACACACTTTGGGTCTTTAGGTCATTATGTGTTTTATTACAGTTTAATGTTTAAATATCTGACAACTCTCTCTCTGTCTTCCAGGAAGCAATCAAGAAAAACAGTTTAGGATCTAATGAATTCTGGATTGGTCTGAGAGTTGAAGATGGGAAATGGAAGTGGGTGGATGGAAGTGATCTGTCTGATAGGTAAGAGACACGTTACTAAACACTTTGAATACTAAAATGTATCAGCCTTTATCTAAACATCATGTTCTCTCCTCAGCTCCTGGATAGATCCTCCTGCTGACGGTCACTGTGCATTGTTTTACACGGGCAGAGACATATGGTACTCAGTGTTTTACACAAACAAATGGTCATCAGTGAGCTGTGGTGCAACACATCAATGGATCTGCCAGCAGAAGGCTCTCTCTGTTTAAACAAGCAGTCAGACTAAGAAGGTTACTGGAAACTCTTTGAGAAACAGATGAATTACTTGTGAATAAAAACAAAATTCTAAACAAAAAAATAAACAAAAACAAAAACAGGTTAAAAACCAGTAATTCCAGAAACGTTTCTCAAACTGGATACAAACAATAAAACACAAAAGTTAACTCATAATGTGAATTATTTTAAAATCGATGTGCTTTCAGTTTGACTTCATTTATATGGAGCTTGCTAAATTAATGCAAATATGTATTTCTTTAACATGTGATGGTGTTTTTATTAGATATGGATGGTTAAAATAGTTAAACTGTTTAGTGTGAATAATGTTATTCTATTGTGTTAGAGATGCAACGCTTCAACTCTGCAGATTATTGCAAAGACTATGGACCATGTTATTGTATTGCTTCTACCGGCCAGCAGAGGGCGCTGCATCACTTGATCTCAATACAAAGTTCCAGAGTCTGTTGAATAACTATTTTTCAAGATTCAAAAGTTTATCGTCATGACATTTAGAAACTACGGTGTGATTATGTAATGTATAAAACATGTGATCTCAGGTTCCTTAACAGTGCAATTAACAAGACATAAGAAATACATATAAAAAACAACTATACAAATAGAAATAGTGCAAGCTCAGGTGTTTAATAGTCTGATGGCCAGTGGGATGAAACTGTCCCTGATGCTATTCTGATGACGCACAGTTTATGGATGATTTGTATCTATCTGTATTTGTGTCTTTGAGCAATGTCTTGTTTCACTCTGTTGTCTCCAGTGAATAAATGTGCTGCCACACATTGTTGTTTTTGTGTTTCTCTTGAAAACATCAGTGCTTTAATCAAGTCTGGAGAAACAATCTGATTCATGGTGCGACCATTTGGATGAGAATAAGAAAGAAGGAGATCAGACCTCAATATCCAGTCACTCTGTCAACATCAGCACCAGCAGAGTTCCAGAGAGGGACAGGAAGTGGAGGTGAATTGGCCAAAAAAAGTGCAAACACTAAGTAAGATGTATGTATGATATGTTAGGGTTGTGGCGGCGGAGCCATGGATAACCCAGGATCAGCGGAATATGTGGAGACCGGAGAACATGAAACTGAATAGTTTCGTGTTGGTTCCCAGACAGGAGCATGTGAACGGGTACAGTCTGATGAGTCACTGTCCCCAGCAGGTGACCGTCTAAGGCAGGCATCCTCAAACTACGGACTCCGGTCCGGATCCGGACCGAACCACCACTGTCTCCGGACTCTGAGCAAATTATACTTTTTATATGTATTATCTCTGTATTATATGTGAGACATCGCCACAACGCATTCGCAACGAGTCAAAATTCTCCTCTATGTCCACTGCAAACAGCGCTCTGCATGTCTGACTGTTCCACTGTGTTCCACCTGTGTGTGTCAACGCTTTGGTCCAATCACATTCAGCATCCAGTCAGCGTTTTTTCCCCCCAAACAATCTGCGAATCAGAGGCACAGTAGGGCGGGTCTTCGCGGAATGCGGGTGGGAAACATGTGTGTGTCTCTTTCAACCTGTCTAAGTCAGAGCGAGAATTAACAACAACAAAAAATTCAGAGCGAGAGTTAACAGCTCATCTAGTTCCATCTGTACTGTAGCTAGTAGCCTTGTTTCACCTACTGGGGTGGCAACTGACACCCTAAAAATAGGCCTTGCCACCCCAGTTGGCAGCTTTGTTTTGAAAGAAAAGTTGTGGCTCATCGGACATTTATGAGAGAAAGTCTCTAATGTCCGAGTGCAAGTGAATGCAGCACAAGATGCACATCATGTAACCCCTCCCCCGGTCCTGGCGCGAGCGTGGACATACGATTGGCGGCGATTTCATTTTGAACTGGACGGCGCAAAACGAGAAGCATTCGGACCCAAGCACTGAAGGAATGAGGTATTTGCGGTCTACTCTGACAGAGAAGAGACTGTCAGTTTGGCTGTACTCAGCATTGAATCAAAACGCACTGAAGCTGTGATCTTAATACGTTTGTGAGGCGTTTTGCTGAACAAGATGGTAATCGCCGCATTCAGCTGTAATAGACATGTCAACTTGATGCTCTGCTCACGGATGAACATACACAACTATTAAGATGATGAACTTACGTGTGTAAATATATTTTTTTCTTTGAGGGGGTCTGCCCCCAAAAAACTGTTTTAAGTCCTGAGAAAGTCAAATCAGACGGTGTGTAAAACTACACTGCCCAGCCAAAAAAAAGTAACCACTTTAATTGAACTAGGCCAGTAGGTAAGGGCTTTCCACTGGATAATAACTGAAGTATAAAGAATGCATGACTGAAGTGATGGAGACCATGTTGAAGGCAAACAAAAAGAGGAAATAACAGGTCAAATCAAGCAAATCCCCCTCTCAGATTCCACAGCAACCAGAAGAACATAAATACTGGCTGGTGATTTGATTCATCAGCTTTGTGATGGAATAAAAAATGCACAGTGCATTTCCTTAGCTGTGGGTGAGTCCACTGACACCACTGACAATGCTCAGTTGCTGGTGTTTGTGAGTTTTTATGATGAGGCAAAGGGGGAGTTTGTTGAAGATGTGTTGGGCCTGACGAACCTCAGTGGACACACAAGGGGGAATACATTTATAAAGCAATAATGGGAATGCTGAATGAAAGAGGGTGCAGCTGTCTTTATTCATAACTGTGCAGCTCTTACACTGCGACTCTGAGGGGTCAAGCACAGACACAATAACAATGAAAACTGCTGCATACAGATTATTTTTGTTTTTGCAACCTCGTGTTAAGAATCTTGTTGCAATTGTTTAAAAGTTTGAATGACCGTAATAAACGGACCTTTGTCTTATTGAAACATTTATTTTGGACCTTTAAGATTTGTATTTGAGTACCCCTGGTCTAAGGCGTTGGCTGGAACTGGGTGAGACGTCGGGGCGCCCAGGCATGTTGAACTCCCGCCGATCGTCGCTCCCGTCTCCGTGTCTGGATGCGCCGATCCATGCGGGAAGTCAGTTCAAACAACCCATCCAGTGAATTGGGCAGATCAAACGACACCAGCTCGTCTTTAATGTAATCCGCCAAACCACGCAGATAGGCGTCACACTGGGCTGCAGAATTCCAGTTGCTGAGGCGGCTCCGGGTGCAAAACTCAATGGCATAATCCACCACAGATCCATTACCCTGGCTCAGGTTCAGTAGTCCTCCTGCAGAGTCTGGACCCACAGACACGGGTCCAAACACCTTGCGCAGCTCCGCAGAAAAAGCAGGGAACGTAGAGCAGGCGGGTGTTTGTTGCTCCCATTCCGCTGTGCCCCACAGTCGGGCTTTCCCAGTCAAATGATTGACCGTGAACGCCATACGAGCAGCTTCAGAAGCGAAAGTGTGTGGCTGCAGCGCAAACAGGATAGAACAGTTCGTAAGAAACGGGCTGCAGCCCTCCGGTTCCCCGGCGTAGCGCTCCGGAGTTCCCACCCGAGGCTCCGGGGTAAATCCCATCAGAGGTGATGCAGAAGCGGGTGTCGACGGCCTAGGAAGAGGCGCTGGAGCGGCCACTCCTGCCACTAGCTGCTGCACAGTAGCCGTTAGCTGCTGTAGCATGCGCAGCTAAATAGGTTAGCATCTGGTCATGTGAAGAGTTAGTATGATGAGCCTCGGTGGCCAGGGCGGCTATCGAGGCTTCCTGCCTCTGGAGAGCGTCCTCAACTCTCTCGAAACGGTCTCTAGGTGAAGAGGAGTGCGCTGGGTCCATGTTCTGGCCAGATTGTTCTGTCACAATCTTAAGGAGAACCCAAATGCAGCACTCGAGAAACCAAGGAGAATTGGTAATAAACTTTATTGGAGATTCCACTGGATCTGAGGAATTCCAACCGAGCAGTTTAACGCACCGGAGGAAAGCGGGCAGAAGGTGAGTCAGGGACAGGCAGAGAGTCAGGGAGTAAGCGAGGCGGTCAGCGTAGATACAGGCAGGGTCGGATAACAGGCCAGACAGGATAGTCGAGGGACAGGCAGGATCAGGGAACAGGCAGAGCAGGCAGATCGAGGACAGGCAGGGTCGGAACCGGGTAGGCAATCTAGTTTCAAACGCGGGAAAGACAAGCATGAGGCAAAGTACAATCTGGCAAAGAGTGTGTGTAACCCCCTAATCCCACCAGGAGCGTCTGCGCTGCGTTGCGGCTGCGGCGTTTTTAGCGATCGCGGCCACTCTTCAATGGGTGCTATTCCACCAGACCCGCTGCGCCGCGCTGCGCCGCGGCTCGAAGCGTCCCAGAATCTCCTCGCCGCAAGGAATTTCTAAAATATAGGATGAATCCTATTTTTGACGCAGCGCAGCGCGGCGCAGGCAGGAAGTGGAACGTTCATCCAACAACTGCGAGGCTGCACACACGACGCTCCGCTTCCGCAACGTTTTGAAACGCGCCTGGTGGGTTATGACGCAGGAGGAGGTCGCAGCGTGGCGCAGACGCTTCCGGTGGGATCAGGGGGTAAGGTGCGGGTTTAAATACTGGCAGAAGCTAATGGGTGCAGAAGAGAAAGAGAGTGAGCTAACGAGTGGGTGTGGAAAACAGGTGAGACAGGTGAATGGAAAACTACTAGTGAATGATGGAGCAGACTATGACAAAATCAATATTTAGTCTCCAGCAGAGTTCCAGAGAAGGCCAGGAAGAGGCATTGAGAGCATTTTGGTGACTAAACATACGTTTTTTGGGGCCTAGAAATCCATGGAGATCCAAATTGCACATTGCAGTTAATATGATTATTTATGAGGAAATCCAATATGTTGGATGTGTGACTCGGTGAAAGGGCCGCACGTTCTCAAGTTCCGGTTGAAACTATTTGGGAAGTATCAACATGACATGAGAACAGGAGATTAAAAAGATGCCATCTCCACCTCGAAGCAGAAGTCGACTGAACCGTCACATCAGAGAGACGCTCTCATCAGGACTGCAGCAGGACTTTGTTCAGAACCAAAGGAAACATAATCGAGGATATGGGTAATTAAAGAATATTCCAGAGTTTATGTGTGTTTGTGTCTAAGATACATCCTACTGTATTATATATTTTTCTTTGTCTTTACCAACATGTTTTCCTTGTATGACCATATATGCGTAAATTGCTTTTGAGGCTTGACCACTCCCTAGCAGCACATTATTTTAAATATCCAAATTCATTTAAGATTGAATCTTTACAATTATGATTGATCAACTCTGCTGAACATAGAGACATCATGTTTTATATATTTGGGGATTTTTGGAGAGTGAATTAAAGAAGAAGCTTGTAGTTTATCAATATGTTAACCCAGGGACGTGCACATACATTTGGAGGGGCTATTGCTCTAAACTGGAAAAGGCGCCCCCCCCCCCCAAAAAAAAAAAACACAAGACCTTTTGAAAATTCTAACATAAACTCATAAAATAAAAACACAACACTGTCATTGCAAGTGACACTCAGTTGACTTTTATGTCCAACTGCTAAATTCGTTATTCAGGCACATTTTTTGTTGCGGTCCATATCTCATTAGAATATCTAATGTAACTATTAAAGAAACAATGGGGACAATTCTGTTTTAATGTAGTTTTACCGTTGTTACTGCTGTGCAGACAAAGGTTACTGATAACATAGGGCTTCTATAATTACCTTAAATAAACTCACTAATTAATTAAACCAGTTCAATACGCATTATTCTTAATGAGCGCAGTGACGGTAAGGTATCTAATTACTTATTTATTTAGAATTCCATAACTTAATAACAAAGATGGTCAAGCTAAAGTGGAGACATGGCAGAAATCCTACAATAAAGCGGGACAGTGAAGTGTTCTCCGTGAGAGGGCGATCATGAAAAGAGAGCGAGGGTGAGGGAGTTCACGGAGCAGAGTAAAAGACACAGAAAGACAGAAGCACAATAACAAGTATATTTAGGTGTTTGTTTTTTTAAGTAACCGACGGTGTCAAGAGGAAGTAAAGTCCCCTGGTTTGTCCCCTATACTCTAACGGGTAGGAGCCAGGGCAGGCGTTTGGTGTGATCACCATAGCCATATGAGGTTGGACTTGAAGGGCTTTCCTTTGCTTCCAGCTGTCAGATTGTAAACAAAGTCACGTGACTGGGGGCAGATGACAGCGCGGACAAGGTGTGTTTCCCGCAGCGAGACGCTACAATACTAATTGTGGGCTTATCATGTTGATTCGGTCACAATATAAAACAAAAACAACTCTTGCTCTCTCCAGAGGGGCAGGTCAGGCAAAAATGGCAAAAGGGCCGTTGCCCGGGCAACATTACCCCGTACCTGTGCACGTCCCTGTGTTGACCACACATGATGAACTATTGTACTAAATACAAAATGTGCTCCATTTTCAACAATAACATGTACACATGTTTTATTTATAAGATATTAGTTTGTCTAATTGGTCTTTAATCTCGTTTTAAAAAGTCAGTATGATACACTTCTCTTTGTGTGTTTAGTTCTGCTTTCCTGCTCTGATTCTTTGCGTGACAGCAACTGATTTTACATCGTTGAGTTTGATTATAAACTCCATCCTTTAGTGAAATGGTTCCTCGTGCGTGCTGAACATAATGGGAGGGAAGCTGCATATCTGATGAAACAGTATGTGTTTATCTTCCAGAGGAAATCACAGGAGAAGCTGACTATGTGAATGCACCAGAAGGCCCTGCGGATAAAAAGGCACCGCGTCCAGGTGAGCTGTGAACACAAGCAAACATGAGATTTATTCCACAGTCATATTATTTAAATAAAATAGTGATGAAGGTTAAACATGTGAATATTAAATCAGCTCTTTTGTTCTATATTAACCTGTTAAGCCCGAGAGACCCCGGTTCCGAGGGCCTCCTGCAATATCTTGCAGAAAACAGTGTCTGAGGGCATGTTCATTTAATGAACTATGAATGTTTTATATCCATGTAACGAAGAAACTCATCTAACTGATCATTTTAATTTGTTTTTCAAAAAAAAACAACACAATGCTAACGCTGAGCCTCTGAATTAGCAACGAGCGAAAAATGCTAACAGATGACTGCACCGAAATTCACTCACAAAACCTTATTATTTTTATTTATCTTTGCTGCACATCTCAACCCATCGTTTCACATCGTGAGGGGACACAGAATCGATGGGTACCCTCATTATCACTCAATTATACGAACTCTCTGAGATAATGACAAGAACACACATCAAAATATATGGAGCTAGTTAGCCAAAAACGGCAAAATGGCTCACCTGTGTGGTAGTCTGGTCAAAAGTGGTCTTCAATGGCATTAAAACAATAAAAACGATGCTGAAGTTAATCCATAGGTTAATCCAATGCGTCTGTGTCACTTTGAATGATTTCTGATAATCCATGAGCAATAAATCTGCTTTTCGGTTTTGAGATGTCAAACCTAGAGACAGCTTCACTCTGGAGCAAAACTGGGTGAGCGAAGACGCCATCTTTTTGTTAACATGAGTGTGTGGGGGGATATTTCCCTTCGATTCTATTGGCTCTGACGGTCAGAAAGAGATGTCACATGTCAAAATCGAAGAAGGGGGGCCAGAGATAAGGAAAACCCACCCAAATGGCCCCAGAAGAGGTTTTCTTTGCTAAATCTGTCTAAAAAGGTCAAATATCACTTGTTTTGCATCAATCTTGATACAGGGTACTTATTATATGTTGTACTTTGGATTCCTAAAGCTTTTAGTCTACTAACCCATCATCCAAGGTTAGTTTTCACTATAAGTACAAAATATGTTTTGGACAGACACTATAATTTACAGTTTTTTACCATGTTTAATCTGAATTTTCTTTAAAATAAAAAACATCTATATTGATTCTGACTTTTTTACATCCAACTCACAGGTTTATCATTACTTTGAGAAAAAAGATTATTAATTTAACCCTTTTAGAAGGGAAGATATGGTCATTTGTTCTGGGAATGTCATTTTCGAGCCTGAGACCTGAACAACAGGCTTGGGGCCTAACAGGCTAACTCAGGGCAGATGTGTCTCTTCTTCACTGTATTTTGTGTCTTTGCTGATCATAAAATCCATCTTTTGTCTTTTGTTGGTTTTTTAATTTTGATTATATTGGGAGTTAAATACACATCAATGCACACAATCTATAATGTCTTGTTTTTCATTACTGCACATAATTTATTACAATTCTATTTCTGCGATTTCAACCATATTCAATGTAAATACTGCTCTAGCAGTTTCACATTTACATTTTAGTATTTAAAAAAGAAAAATGTATGTTATTATATTTTTCTTAAAATAGTTTTCTATCTGTGTTTTATTTGTATTTGTATGTATGTACCAGAACACCAAGTCAAATTCCCCCTATGTGTTCACCTACCTGGTAATAAACCAGTTTCTGATTCTGATAAACTTCATAAAAACACATTATGTCTTTATTTTTCAGACGACACCAAAAAAGGATCTGCCCCAGAAGGCACCGTGGATACAAAGGCATCCCCTCCAGGTGCATGATCAATACATTTCACTATTTAATACTGTTAACACGTTTAAAAAAAACATAAATGTAAAACAGTGAGATACTGACAAAGGTTACAATGGTTTAGCTATTTTTGTGGTGTGTTTATAATGTATTGAAAGCATTAGCTTAGCCTGCTAAATGATTTTAGGCCATTAGACTAAACTCCTGAGCTTGCACTATTTAAGGGTTTTAAGTATTTTATATGTTTATATATTGCATGTTTTAACCAACCAGCGGCCTCAGTTTTTAGACTAAACTGTATCCGTGTATATGACTTTAAAACCTTTGAAACCTTCGAAACCTTTGTTTAGGTTTTTTAACAGAATGCTTGTTTTTCAGGCTTGAGGTTTGTTCTTCCGATAGCAGTGTGTTGGATCATACTGTTAGCCATCATGGGTCTCCGTATCTACTGTGAGTATGGTCTCGATGAATGTCAGTTCAACAGTTTGATATGTGTGTTAAGGGTGAAGTGTGTGTGTGTGTGTGTGTGTGTGTGTGTGTGTGTGTGTGTGTGTGTGTGTGTGTGTGTGTGTGTGTGTGTGTGTGTGTGTGTGTGTGTGTGTGTGTGTGTGTGTGTTGTAAGATGTCTACAGTACAGAGGAGACCAGTCGCTCCGCCTGTTATCTCTCCAAATGCAGTTAGCTCGTTGCTAACTTGTTGCTGCTCGAGTGATGTTAGCCGGCTGTGGCAGACATGTTCCTATGGTTCACTTGTTCAAAGGACAGGTCTGTCTGTCTGCCCACATGTACATAGAAACAGTTTTAGTTGTTAACACTGGCCCTGTGCAAAGATGTATTTCAGAAGAGGTTTTTTGTTTTACTTTAGAAAATAAACACTTGATTTAACAATCTTAGACCATCAGTGCTGCTCCGTTCACATGTTTATATGTGTGTGCGGCTATGTTTTAGGATAGATAAAACAAATGAACCTGTTCTTTAATGTCACGATCTTAGTTTTATGTCACAGTTGTAGTTTGGTCTGTCTTGTCATGGTTTTATTTTGCAATTCTGTTCTCCCTGTGTCTTGTCTTCCTCCCTGTCGTTAGTTTCCCTGGTGTGTCTGATTGTCTGATTGTGTTCACCTGTTGCCCTTGTGTTTCCCCTCCCCTGCCCGGCTGTTTCTCGTCTCGTGATTACCCCTCCCTGTATTTCAGGGGTGGCCAACCCGCGGCTCTCGAGCCGCATGCGGCTCTTTGCCTAGTTTCATGCGGCTCTTCAGTTCATATCGAATTTTATATGTGTGAGTTTGGGGGAGAGACACTGACTCCTGACTAGTGTTGCATGGTGTACCGATACTTGAAAGGTATACCGCGATACCCTGCCGTTAAAAACGTTACGATTCCTCCGTTTCATTAGTATCGGTACTTTAAGAATGACGGGGAAAAGTACTCCGGTGAGAAAGCGCCGTTTTAATAAGAGCCGTGTGTGTTCAGCGCTCTGCTTCCACTCCCTGCACTGCAGCCGTGCCTGCAGCCCCTCCCTTCTCAAGCACGCTCGAAGTCCCTCCCCTCTCAAGCACGCTCTAAGTCCCTCCCCTCTCTCGTGCACGCGCTAGCTGCCAGAGCATGTGAGAAAACCAGAAGCATGGCTGCAAGTGGGAGTGCAGCTGCCGCTGCGCCTCGGCTTGTTGAGAAAAAAGACGCCAGAAGCGATGTATTTTAGCTATATCTCTGACAGTGAGGGCAAGCCTACGGACACCACGAGGCCCGTCTGTAAGAAATGTATTAATTTTATTTAATACGAATTCTTGTCATTTATTTGATTTATTGTTCTCATTGTTTAAAAGTTTGTGTTATGGTTATGGTTCTGGTGTGAAATAAAGCACAATAATTACATTTAAGACTGTTTCCCTTTTTTTAAGAAAAAGAATCGGAATCGCAATTCTTGACTTGGTATCGAAACCAAAATGTTGGTATCGTGACAACACTGACAGTTAAACCTGATATTTAGTAGGTCTGTTAAGTATTGAATACTGATAATTCGGACGTAATTTGGCTGGTCAAAGTTGTTCGGGCTCGGATAAAATAGCTCCGTTACTTTGGTCCCGTGTTACTTTCGTCCCGGCTCTCCCTACGTGTGTATGTGTGGTGTCAGGTGTCAGTATGAGAGGATGACAGCGCGTCTAATTTTGATGTGGCCCAAGAGCCAATCACAATAATACCTGCAATGCAGTGAACCAATCACCTTTGAGGGGGGGAAAACCTATCGTTGATTAAACACTATCCAGTGTTTCCCCTACCATTGTCTTGGAGGGGCGCTGCCCGCCAACGGAGCCCCGCGCCCCCCCTGGAATTCAAGGAGTTATATATATAATAAATAAAAAAATCTATATATATATACCACCAAATTGCAAATAATCTATAACTACTGTCACTTTTCACATTGAACATGTGCTCTTTTATTAAATAAACTAAACGCTTTCATCTTAAGTTGTGAGTTTAGTGTTTTTGACCCTAAGAAACACTGATGCATTAATCAATAACAATAATCCACAGCTCCTCTCTCTGCTCCAGAGGATTTGAAAAATATATATCCCAATGCCACAAAAATGCATCAGTGACGTGGTTGAAATCTTGTCTCCAGAAAACAAAAAACGGAAACAAGCGGTATCAGTGACTGTGTGTTTGATGTGGCTCTTTGCAATAACATAGAAAAAATGTGGCTCTTAACCTCTGACTGGTTGGCCACCCCTGCTGTATTTAGTCTTGTCTCTTCCTGTGTTCAGTGTTGGTTCATTGTTTGTCGTTCATGTCTCCCTTCATGTTGGTCACAGTCCCTTTTTGTTTGGATGCTACCTCGTGCTACAGTACCTGTTCATGGATTCTTGTTTTTTTCAGCTTTTGTGAATAAAGCTCGCCTTTTGTTCCATTTTGAAACCTGCTTCCCTCCTCAATCTGCATTTGGGTCCTATTTTCCCCCAACCCTGACATTTAATGTCTATTATGATCATTAATCAATCAGAGACACAAGCCTTACAGCCCAACACCTTCCTCTGTCTCTGTAGTTACCTCTGAACTTTCTGAAGACAACGCCAAGCAGACTGCAGAAATCCTGAACCTGACATCACGAATCCAGGAGCTGGAGACACGGAAGAATCTCACGGTCCAGTATGACAACCTGACACAAGCCTATACTGTCTTAGAAAGCAACAACACAAACCTGTCTGCAGAAGTCCAGGAGCTGAGCAAACTAAACCAGCAGCTGGAGACATGGAAGAACAACTTGATCCGGCAAATACAAGACATGGAGACAACCTGGAATGAGCTCAACATCAGTCGAGCTCAGTGGAGCATCAATTCCTACTGCTTAGGAAACACCGGTATGTTCAGAACTTTATATTAGGTCATAATAACAATATTTTCATAATGCAGTCATGTTGTTGATTGTTTGGACTCTGTTGTTTCAGATAAAAAGTGTCAACCTTGTCAGAAGGGCTGGGATCTCACTGAGCCCAGCTGCTATGCGAGCAGTTACCTTCCTTATCCTGGTTGGATAACCTGGGAAGAAGCTCAAGAAGACTGCAGAGGAAATAATTCAGATCTGGCTGTTGCACATGATTCAGAGGAAAAGGTAAACCCATTAATATGATGCAATTAGAAAGTAATTGTGTTTTGTGTTGGTTTGAACACACTTTGGGTCTTTAGGTCATTATGTGTTTATTACAGTTTAATGTTTAAATATCTGACAACTCTCTCTCTGTCTTCCAGGAAGCAATCAATACTAACAGCTTTGGATTGAATGGATACTGGATTGGTCTGAGAGTTGAAGATGGGAAATGGAAGTGGGTGGATGGAAGTGATCTGACTAATAGGTAAGAGACACGTTACTAAACACTTTGAATAATAACATCTATCAGTCTTCATCTAAACATCATGGTCTCTCCTCAGCTCCTGGATACCAGCTCCTGTTGACGGTCACTGTGCATTGCTTTACACGGGCAGAGACATATGGTCATCAGTGAGCTGTGATAAACCACAACAATGGATCTGCCAGCAGAAGGCTTTATCTCTCTCTGTGTAAACACTGCAGTCATACAAAGAAGGTCACTGCTAACTCTGATTGAAGAACATGAAATACATTTACAGGCCTATAAATGTAAAACTATGGATTATCGTACTTAAATACAAATTCCAAACATTTAAAGAGATGTTACCTTGTCAAACGAAAAAGGAAAGAAATAACATTAATTACATAAACTTTGCATAAACTCAATACACACAATAATATAATGTGGATTATTTAAAAATCAATGTAACTTTTAGTTTGAATTTCTAAAGGTCTTGCAAAATAAATGCAATTTTTTTTTTTTATTTCCTTAACATATTTATGTTGTTATCAGTCTGGATGGTTAAACTTGTTTGTGTTAGAGATGCAATGCTTAAACTCTGCAGATTAGTGCAAGGACTCTGCTATTGTATTTGATTGCTTCTACCGGCCAACAGAGGGCGCTGCATCACTTGTTCTCAATACAATGTTCCAGAGTCTGTTTCATCAAGTATTCTGACTTTGTTTATTGGCCCAGCTGACGGATCATTTTATCTATCTGTATTTCTATCTAAAAGCGATGTCATGTTTTACTCTGTCACCAGTGAACAAATGTGCTGCCACACATTGTTCTTTTTCTAGAAAGCATCAGTGCTTTAATCAAGTCTGGAGAAACAATCGTATTCATGGTGCGACCATTTTGATGTAAATAAGATAGAAGCAGATCAGGCCTCAATATTCAGTCTTTAGACCTTTCTTATTTCTAATTTCCCCTCGTCTCCTATCCTCGCATCTTAGTCCCGCCCAAAGGAGATGCGAGCGGAGGAGTCGAGGAGAGAGGAGGGGAAGCAGCAGGCGTTTAGAGGAATGATAAATCCTCTCCTCTGAGTGGTCTAATGAGACAATAACAGGCAGATGCGAATTTATACACACATATATATTTATATAAATATATTTAAGAAATAGCTCACGACCAAGGGGCAAACTCTGGGGAATAGCCGGGACGCCAATACGGAAGTGCCACACACTGCAGTTCATATATTGGCCGATAGGCGATGGCTGCAGAAAGGAGCAATTTCCATAGACCCCCATGTTAAAATGCCCGATTTTACAGCAGAAAATAACATGTTTCTACCGCTGGCTCCATACATTTTATTAGCGATATAGTTAGATTCCACCTTCATAATTATGGATCTGTGAGTGAATTGTTTTCTAACGTGACCCTTTTATTTATATTAGGTCTTAACGTTTTTGTATAAATTAGGGCGTGGTCACATTGAGTGACGGCTCTGTCAAGTGACTGCTGCTGCTAGCTTCTTGTCTCTCTGCTACCTGCTCCGTGAAGCTACAGGGACTATGCCTGCTCAGTTCATCCAGGGAACACAACTTGACCCCGGCCGTGTTTGTTTGTTCTTCATGCTTATATATTGGACTATTGTGACTCGCTCTGCGGTTAAAACAGACGGTGCATGAATGCGGTTTTGCGGTAAGTGAAATTCGAGTGCTTTATTTATGTGTTAATGATTTTAATCAGCTACGTAATGAATGTTAAGGCTTGGGTTAGACTGCGGTCAAGCCAGCCTCCACTCGGGAAAAGCTAGTCAAGCCAGCCCGCACGTGATATTGCGGTGCGTGAATATCCTATGCATTACGGTAGAGTCCTGGAAACACTGCCTTCAAAATAAAAGCACTTACTCGGTCAATAACATATACACCAAAATAACATACCAAACATATTACATTAAGAAATATATACTGTATAAAGTGATCAATAATTATTTAAAACAAACTACGTATAACTACCACATTATAAATGAGTGAATGTAAAACTTAAGGAGTTTCAAAATAAAATACCTTTGAAATATCTATTGAATGAGCTATCATCCCTCTGTGTTTAGATGAGAATAAAACAAAAACTGTCCAGTATCAAAGACTCATCTCACTCCAGGGTGATAGCAGGACACCCCATCTAGTCACTTAGCAAAAATCAGGACATTCTGATGTACAGTTTCAAAATAAAATACATTTGAACTCTCATATATGAGCTATCATCCCTCTGTGTTTAGATGAGAATAAAACAAAAACTGTCCAGTATCAAAGACTCATTTCACTTCAGGCTGGTAGCAGGACACCCCATCTAGTCACTCAGAAGAAATAAGAATATTCTGATGTAGAGTTTCAAAATAAAAGACCTTTGAAGTCTCAGATATTGGCTATAATCCCTCTGTTTTTAGATGATAATAAAACAAAAACTGTCCAGTATCAAAGACTCATTTCACTTCAGGGTGATAGCAGGACACCCCATCTAGTCACTCAGAAAACATCAGGACATTCTAATCTAGAGTTTCAAAATAAAATACCTTTGAAATCTCTGTTGTATGAGCTATCATCCCTGTTTTTAGATGAGAATAAAACAAAGAATGTCCAGTATCAAAGACTCATTTCACTCCAGGCTGGTAGCAGGACACCCCATCTAGTCACTCAGAAGAAATAAGAATATTCTGATGTAGAGTTTCAAAATAAAAGACCTTTGAAGTCTCAGATATTGGCTATAATCCCTCTGTTTTTAGATAAGAATAAAATAAAAAATCTCCAGTATCAAAGACTCATTTCACTCCAGGCTGGTAGCAGGACACCCCATCTAGTCACTCAGAAAAAATCAGGACTTCTTCTTCTTCACTGTGTCTTTGTGTCTTTGCTGATTATAAAATTAATCTTTTGTCCAATGGTTTTTGGATATCATTTTTGATTATATTGGGAGTTAAATACACATTAATGCATACAATATCTTGTTTTTCATTACATTACATGTCACTTGTTAGACGCTTTTATCCAAAGCGACTTACATACTCAATACTGTGGGCAATCCCCACAGGATCAATTTGGGGTGAAGTGTCTCAGGGACAGAAGACATGCTGACTGCAGTGGGGTTTGAACCTGTGACCCCCTGATCCCAACACCAAGGCTCTACCCACTGCGCCACACGCCTCCTCCCATTACTGCACATATTTGATTCCAAATCTATTTCTACAATTTCAATATTCAATGTAAATACTGCTATATTTTAGTATGTTTTTAAATATGTTTTACTGTTATTATAGTTTTCTTTAAATAGTTTTATATCTGTGTTTTAAATGTTTATTTTCTTTTTATGTATGTTTATGTATGCAAAACAACACCAGTTCAAATTCCTTGTATGTGTTAACCTACCTGCTAATAAACCTGTTTCTGATTCTGATAAACTTCATAAAAACACATTATGTTTTTATTTTTCAGACGACACCAAAAAAGGATCTGCCCCAGAAGGCACCGTGGATACAAAGGCATCCCCTCCAGGTGCATGATCAACACATTTCACTATTTAATACTGTTCACACGTTTAAAACAAACATAAAGGTAAAACAGTGACAGCAGGAAATGGGTATTTTCTAGTTTTAATGTGTGTGAGTGTAAAACATTGCTTTTTTCTTTTACCAAGACATTGTCTACATGTTTTCCTATTCATAGTGTTTCTGATGTGTGACCAGATCTGAGCAACAAAGGGTTTAAAATAACATTTATTTCAAATGTGATCTTTAAAATTGTGATTTTCAAACTCTGATAAACACAGAATTATAAATTCAATGCATTTGTTTCTCTCTGACGACATTGAGTAATTAGCTGTCGATGTATCAACATATTTTATGGGAAAAAAAAACAATTTGTTTATTTAAAATAAATCAGGTTTTAGTTTGTCTAATGGATTTTAGTTTCAGCAGAAAGATATATGTTTGTGATATATGTTTTTTTTTTGGGAAGAGGAAACAACCAGTTCTCCTATTGCGATGTCCAGAGGTTTAATTAGAGCAACACTTCTCCGTCTACGAGTCAGAGAGAGCTCAACAGAGCGGCTGGAGTGATGGCGGAGGGAGAGGAGGAGGTGAACTACGCGTCGGTTGTGTTCAAAGCCGGCAACAATCCTCCACCTGCGGGTACGTTTAGTTATTTAACAACTTTCACTTCCTGCTGATGATTTTGAAACAGAGCCTCTTTGTTAACGTGATCAATTCAATGTTGAATATCAATCCAAAGTAAGTTGCTGTTTTTAATGACCTGTAATTTAACTGTGAAACCAGAAACATTTAGAGAAACTATTAAAAGGCTGTTTTTGTATTTGTTTAGTGTGGGTGAAGAATAGATGTTTAACTAACCCAGCACATTTGCATTGATGTTTTTCAAAATCACAATGTTGAGTGTAAACCTTTCACTACAAATGAACCAAGAAAACTCACCATCGCAGTCGACATTTATATTTTTAATAATATGAGTTTTCTGGGTTCATCAATGCACATCTTTGGTAGAAATAAGCCTTCTTTGTTCATGTATACTAGTTGAAAACGTTTGTTGGGTATTTTCATTTATATTTAGCGACTGGAGATATATCATCACGAACACATCTATTTCAAACCAGTGAGGAAATTGCGAAGTGAGATAATTATCTGTTGAGTTTCCCATATCATGTCGTTTCCCTTTTTAAACAGCGTGACACAATACCTGAAACACAATCTCATCATTATGAAGCTGCCCATTTTAATGCATTTTTGCAATAAATCAATCATCGTAAGGCCATTTTTCTGCTTTATCAAACAATGAAAACAGCCTTTTAAAGTCCTTGTCATTTATTCTCTAAAAACCTGAGCATGAGCATTTCCTTTGTCCTTCCAGCAAAAAGAGGGGAGGAAACTGTGTACGGTGAGGTGGAGGCGCAGAACGAAACAAAGAACGAGGGTAAGTTGTATTAAAAAAAGCATTCAGGTGTTACTGCAACTGGGAGTACTACTGCTACCACTACTTTACCATAACTATAATTAAAAGGGAACAAGTTCACAAGAACTGTTCTAAAGTTTATATCTGTAGTGCTTTGTCAGTAACCCTAGCACTCTAACAAAGCCGTAACATATTGGGAGTGTGCAGTGTGACAAATGTCAACGTCTTGCAGACGGGGCATCCTGGTCTTATTAAAAAATGATGGTGGAAAGCTGCACTGTCTTTTCTCCCGTTTGTTTTTGACTTATCAAAAATAGGTTATGATCATAGTATGCACAAGTCTTTATGTCAATTCACTGACTTGAAGTTACAAGAGTACTTTTTTAAGTATTCTTCTGGTCCTTTAGTAAAACAACATCACATGTCACTTGTTAGACGCTTTTATCCAAAGCGACTTACATCCTCAATACTGTGGGCAATCCCCACAGGAGCAACTTGGGGTGAAGTGTCTCAGGGACACAACGACATGCTGACTGCAGTGGGGTTTGAACCTGTGACCCCCTGATCCGAACACCCACGCACAACCCACTGCACCACACGCCTCTACGACTCCACGACTTATACCATGCGGTAAAATTATCCTTTACAAGTAGAAGTACAGCATTGAAAATGTTACTTGAGTAAAAGTAAGTAAGTATAAAAAGCAAAATGGACTTAAAGTAATCAATGTACACGACACAGAAAAGTTCAAAATTAAAGAAAAAACACCCAAACACCGGTTCTAATTAAATTAAATAAACTTAAATGTGTGCAGATTCCAATTAAGTTTATTTATAATCTAGTTTTTCAGATTGTTCATCTGCTCATATTTATAACAACACATTATATTTGAAAAAGAATAATGCTTCTGAATTATTAAACTATAAATGTAGTGGAGTAATTTATATGATACCTTTGAATTGTAGTTGAGTTAAATCATACAGTGGCATGAAAAGAAAATACTCAAGTAAAGTACAAGTACCTCAAATTTGCACTTAAGTACAGTTTGATTAAATGTATACAGTAACATTCTACCACTGCCTTTTACTAAACTTTATCAAGTGGTTGTGTTGCTTTTTACGGGGGTTTATCTGTAACGTTATTAACGTGTTAAAAACTGTGAATTAATCTGTGACTAAATATGAGGTTCGTTTTTAGGAAATCTCTTGCGAACGGTTATTTTGAGATTGAACTTTTGTGTTGTACTGCAATAATGTTACAGTGACTAATACTCAAGACCTACGGTAACTCTCACTGAACACTTTTAGCAAAGTACATGAAGCAGTTTCTCAAAACACAACTCTTTAAGTCGGCCCTTTAACAACAGTCAGGTGCCTGTTTAAATATGTGAACAATCTTTCGCTGTCCATATCACTCCTTTTGTTCATTTAGGCCATTTCTCATACAATGTAAGTGATAGGGGACCAAATGCACTCCTTTGTTCTGAACTGTATTCCAAAGTTTGACTGGGTTACGGCCGCCGCCTCCCCGGTCCTGGTAACTTTGTTTTGAATGACTCTTATGTAAATGCACTGTGCGGTTGCCCTGATTTCATTGGCTACCCATCTCCTGGTCCGCTCCCGAAGAATGTGATTGGAGCAAGCCGGGCCCGACGCGCTCCAATCCCAGCACACATGCGGCGCACACTAGAGATGGCAAATCCGGATCCTTTTATGGACTCTGAGTCAGTCATTGAAGAGATCCGGATCATACGAGTCCTTTGAGTCATATGAGTCAGCATCACCAAGCGCGTAGAAATCCTACCGGTGAAACCGAAAAGTTGTTGCATTTCACGAGCATATTAAACTAACGTTACAACTAACTAACTAACGTTACGTAACGTTACTCCGCTACACAGTGTCTTTTGCTTTAATAAAAAATGTTGATCACAAAAAAAGGATTATTTGGCGATTTGGCGAATCTGAGTCTGCTGTTGACTCGTGCATGAGGACGAGTCTGCTGGATCTCTGGATCTGCTGCTATACGGGTACGGCTCTGAGTCCGCTCGAGTCTGCTATGTTTTGCACAGTGAGTCAGGATTTGCGAATCTCTGTGTCTGCTGCACAGACAGTGCACAATAGCCGCGGAAAGTAGGGGTGCTGGAGGCGGGGCTGCGAATGGTGTGCATTTGAAAAACTTCATGTTACTGTTGTTGAAATCTCTCCCCACTTTTTTCCGCACCCCCTAAGTAAAATGACTTCCCAGTTCCCGCGGCTATGATCGTGCATGACGAGTCTGGATCATGGATGTATGGTCTGGATCTGCTGGATCGGTTACGGCTCTGAGTCCCCACGACTCACGAGTCTGCAGGAAGTGAAGGAAGTTCCCTTGATTCAGTGAGTCAGGATTTGCGAATCTGAGTCTGCTGTTGACTCGTGCATGATGAGTCTGCCTGGATCTCTGGATCTCTGGATCTGCTACGGTTACGGCTCTGAGTCCGCACGAGTCTGCAGGAAGTTTCACTGATCCGCGTCCACTCCCCTGAGCCAAACGATAACTTCTGGCAGCTATCCTACTTGCTAAAGGCTAGGCAGATGGACTGGGGTACGTTGTAATGTGATTTTACATGTTATATGTTATAAGGAGAGCAGCGAGTGACGCAATTTATAGTTTGAATTTGTACGTCACCAGGTGTAGGACTCAAAGGACTCGGGTTAATGGAGAGGGGAGACTCGTCACGACCAGCTCATTACTAGGATCCGGGTTAATGATCCGGATGAATCAGGACTCACCCATCTCTAGCGCACACCTTCCGGAGACGACTACAAATCCTGTGGACAGCGATCAGTCGGGAGGCTCTGTTATGTGAACAGACGCCTCTCGTTACGTGCTCTTCGATTGTGTGCACATTCTGTTAGCGGTGGTTAACTCGTGTGGTCCGTAATTAGTGTAGTATTGATGTGATTAGATGTGTTTAGATTAGGATAATATTACGTTGACTGTGGTCATTTAGTTTAGCTGTGTTTTCCCACAGCCTCCTTTTCGTTAGTCTGTACCACTTTGATAGTGAGGGTTGTTTTGTTGCTAACTTGTTTATTAGTGTCTATTCCCTTGTATTTACATAGGCTCCCTTATTAGAGTCCTCTCTTTGTTGGTGCCTCATTTAAATCAGCGCCCTTTTGTCCCTTTTGTTTGTCCAGGCCTTCCATCTTTGTTACACATTATTTAATAAACTCTTTATAATTATTACCAATTCCAACTGGTGTGTGTTGCATTTCCTCATCCCCTAGTGGGGATGTAACAGACTGGCTAATATAAGGTTCAAGCATCTGAGTTATTCAAATCAACTTGGTATCCTTTCCTGTCTTTTACCTTTTACTCTCATAAAAAAAGAAGATCCATCTGCATTTACCATACTGTATACTGTCCTAGTTGAAAAGTGACACAATATCTGTACTAAGGAGACTGTAACTTTGAAAGGTACCACTCTTCATCTGGAAAGTTAATGTGATTCATTTGTGTTGTTTAGACTCAGCAGGACGTCGGCGCTTTCAGCACTTGTCTTGTTGTTTGGGGATTCTCTGTGTCATTCTGCTGGGTGGCATCATCGGAGTCTGCGTCTACCGTAAGTACACAAAACAGGAAGTGCATTATCTCACACTTAGACATGAGACAAACCGTAAAGAATATTAGCAGCCATTTTTATCTGTTTACATCATTAATTAGAAGATTTGAAGAACTATAGTGCGAATGCTCTATAGTTCTTCAAATCTGTATTCTTCCCCTTATTTCAGCCAATACTTTGGCTCTCCATAACTTCAGCTTACTTTCAGCTACAGAAACCATTCAAATATTAAACTATTCAACCTTTTCAGGAATCGATGGGAAACCTTCAACTTTTAAAAAATATGTCATACTTTTTGAAATATTCAGCTTTTTAAACTCTTTTTTAACATAAAAGTAAATGGGAGGAGCCTTCAAAATCCTCTTTAACTATACCTTATGCCAAATGCTTCTCCTTCCACATACTTTCAGCTAGAAACTTCATTCCAACTTTAAAATGATCACAAGACCTTCAGCTATTCAAGAATGATTCAGATCTTTGATATATTTTACACTTTTTGAGATATTTAACTTAGTTTGGAGCTTGGTGGAGGGGCTTTCTTCAGATTTTAACATTAGTGTGGATGGAGCAGCTCGTTAAGTCTAGAGTGCTTTGAATCTCAAAACAGAGTGGAGGACAGCTTCAAATTCTCCCCAAAAATGTTTTTAAACTTGCCATAATTCCCAAACCCTACATTCCTCAGACATATTTTTTCATGAAAAATGTAAGAAAACCTCTCTTAGGTTGGAAAATAAAAAAAAATTAAGAAAAAATATTAAACAAAATGGCTCTTGAGGGCATGAAGAGACAAAAAGTCCACCTAACATTGATTCCCATGTTAAAAAAATCCGGATCTTTCTTCAGAACAGAGAGAATTACACTTTAGACAAACTGCTCCCATCTTCACATTTACCACACAAAACCCAAAAAAAAAACATATATCAGTTCATTGGGGTTCCCTGATCCTCACGGTCGGTTAATTCTTTGATAGGAGCGATAGTTTTTGAACAGGTGGCAAAATTGTCAGATATGATCCTCAATGCATTCTTAATGACACTCAGTGCTGCAGCTGGTAACCATGGTGTTGCTGGGCAGATTGAAAGCTTTGATCTCTGGGCTCACACAGGTGTTATGATTATTTGTCATGATTAGGTGCTCAGCACAGAAACAAACACTGACAGACTGGACTTTCACAGACTGTCTCAGCCTATTCTTTTCTGTCTGATGGAGACTTCAACAGGTTCCACATATTTTATACATTATTGGTGACGTATGGTTTTAGTCGAAAAGTTGCTTTCCCAAGCCTTTTGACTTTCTTTCTCTTCTTAATACAAATTCATTCACTACTACTTACATCTGATATTTAACTCCTTCAGCCTATTTTCAGCTGCAGAAACCATTCAACTATTACATTATTCAGCTATTTCAGGACATCAAGGCTATACATGTTTATACCTTTTTTAAACCTTTTCTTTTAAATATTAAGCTTTTTCTGCATTTTTGTAGCTAAAAACAGCTACCATTCAGCTAATAACACATTCAGCTTTTTCTGCATTTTCAGCTAAATTCAGCCACAAATGTTCACAGTTTACAGCATTCACACGCATTTTCTGCAGGAAATGCATTTTTCTAGTTTGATATTACATTGCATTTAGCTGACGCTTTTATTCAAAGCGACTTACAATAAGTGCATTCGACCAAGAAGACACAACCTTGAAGAAAACAGAATCATATAAGTACATCAGGTTTCATAGAGCCAAACATTTCAAGTGCTACTCAACTGGCTTTAGATAAGCCAGTCCTTTATTAGTATATAAGTGCTTTGTTAGTAATTATATCGCTCGAAGTGGAGTCGAAAGAGATGAGTTTTCAGTCTCCCCCGGAAGATGTGTAAGCTTTCTGCTGTCCTGATGTCAATGGGGAGCTCATTCCACCATTTTGGAGCCAGGACAGCAAACCCACGTGTTTTTGCTGATGGGAACTTGGGTCCCCCTCGCAGCGAGGGCGCAGCGAGCCGTTTGGCTGATGCAGAGCGTAGTGCACGCGCTGGGGTGTACGGTTTAACCATGTCCTGGATGTAGGAAGGGCCAGATCCATTCGCAGCATGGTAAGCAAGTACCAGTGTCTTGAAGTGGATTCTAGCAGTTACCGGAAGCCAGTGAAGGAAGCGGAGGAGCGGAGTGGTGTGGGAACATTTAGGAAGGTTGAAGACCAGGTGAGCCGCTGCATTCTGGATGAGCTGCAGAGGTCGGATGGCACATGCAGGTAGACCAGCCAGGAGGGAGTTGCAGTAGTCTAGGCGTGAGATGACGAGAGCCTGGACCAGAAGTTGCGTTGCTTTCTGGGTCAGGAGGGGACGTATCCTCCTGATATCAGTCATGTACATGCCACAGTATGACAGTGTAGAAAGTATTATTATGAGCGTCTTCCTCTTACAGAGTCGTGCAATGATGACGCATCTTTGTAGGCCAACATGGAGGTAGCATCCATTAATGTATTGTGCTTGTTTTCCCAAATAAAGCAACATTATCAATCAAGAAGCCGTTCATGTGGATGAATACATTCATTAGTTTGAGACTTTCCTATACTGTACATACCTGCAGCTCCATTAGTGGGAAATACAGACAAGCATGCATACAAATAATTAAAAGATGAGTCAAGTCATATTCTATATTTCTCTTGTTCTTAACAAATCACATGATCAGACCCAAACGACAATGAAAGTCTATCTAATGTCTATCTATTAACACATGTCATGTGTCTTTCATGTTACTGAGCCTCTGTGAAGTTCTGAGTTCATCCCACTCTCTCTACCCACCAGCGCTTGCTATTTCACAAATGTGTGGCTTGAAGACTTCCCCATTTCACTCCTCTCTTAGTAATGTTGCCCTCAAACCACAGTGACAAGCAGTTTCAGGCAATGTGAAATATCAATGGGTCTGAGAATTGGAGAAGTCAGAACACTTTGAGACGGACTGAGATATTTTTAGTTGTAGTCTTTTCGGATTTGTTGAAACCTTCCAAAACGTGCATTATCACCTTGATTAAGGAGCTAATTTCTCATTTTGCAGTTCCTACATTAAGCCATGAGAGTGATCCAATCCAGTTAGAAGAAGTCTCAACTCTTCTGGCAAACAACAAAAAACTCAGCTTAGAAAATGCAAACTTGAAGAGGGACAACCAGAATCTGACGGACCAGTTGGGCAACCTGACAGAAGCCTATACCGTCTCAGAGAGCAACGTCAAAAGCCTGTCTGCAGGAGTCAAGGAGCTGACAACACGAAACCAGGAGCTGGAGACCGAGAAGAAGAACTTGAAACAGCAAATACAAAACATGGAGACAACCTGGAATGAGCTCAACGTCAGTCGAGCTCAGTGGAGCATCGATGAGTACTGCAAACAACCAGGCAGTAAGTTCTGAGCCCATTAATAAGGTACAATAATAATAATAACATTAATATCCAAATGCAGTGATGTTTATTATTGTATGGACTCTGTTGTTTCAGATCAAACGTGTAAAGCTTGTCAGGACGGCTGGAAACACACTGAGTCCGGCTGCTATGTGTATAATGACGCTCACCTTCCTAATCAAAAAACCTGGGAAGAAGCTCAAGAAGACTGCAGAGGAAAGAATTCAGATCTGGCTGTTGCTCATCATTTGGAGGAAAAGGTAAACCCATTAATATGATGCAATTAGAAAGTAATTGTGTTTTGTGTTGGTTTGAACACACTTTGGGTCTTTAGGTCATTATGTGTTTATTACAGTTTAATGTTTAAATATCTGACAACTCTCTCTGTTTACCAGGAAGCAATCATTACTAACAGTTTAGGATCTAATGGATTCTGGATTGGTCTGAGAGTTGAAGATGGGAAATGGAAGTGGGTGGATGGAAGTAATCTGTCTGATAGGTAAGAGATTCATTACTAAACACTTTGAATAATAACATCTATCTGCCTTTCTCTAAACATCATGTTCTCTCGTCAGCTGGATATCAGTTCCTGATCCTGTTGAAGGTCGCTGTGCATTGTTTTACAAGGACAAAAACAAATGGTCATCAGTGAGCTGTGAAGAGAAACATCAATGGATCTGCCAGAAGAAGGCTCTCTCTGTTTAAACAAAGCAGTCATACTAAGAAGGTTACTGGAAACTCTTTGAGAAACAGATGAATTAATTGTGAATAAAAACTAATTCCAAACAAAAATATAAAACAGAAAAAGGATAAAAACAGTAATTCCAGAAACGTTTCTCAAACTGGATACAAACAATAAAACACAAAAGTTAACTCATAATGTGGATTATTTTAAAATCGATGTACTTTCAGTTTGACTTAATTTCTATGGAGCTTGCTAAATTAATGCAAATATGTATTTCTTTAACATGTGATGGTGTTTTTATTAGATATGGATGGTTAAAATAGTTAAACTGTTTAGTGTGAATAATGTTATTCTATTGTGTTAGAGATGCAACGCTTCAACTCTGCAGATTATTGCAAAGACTATGGACCATGTTATTGTATTGCTTCTACCGGCCAGCAGAGGGCGCTGCATCACTTGTTCTCAATACAATGTTCCAGAGTCTGTTGAATAACTATGTTTCAAGGTTCAAAGGTTTATCGTCATGACATTTAGAAACTACGGTGTGATTATGTAATGTATGAAAACATGTGATCTCAGGTTCCTTAACAGTGCAATTAACAAGACATAAGAAATACATATAAAAAACAACTATACAAATATAAATAGTGCAAGCTCAGGTGTTTAATAGTCTGATGGCCAGTGGGATGAAACTGTCCCTGATGCTATTCTGATGACGCACAGTTTATGGATGATTTGTATCTATCTGTATTTGTGTCTTTGAGCAATGTCTTGTTTCACTCTGTTGTCACCAGTGAATAAATGTGCTGCCACACATTGTTGTTTTTGTGTTTCTCTTGAAAACATCAGTGCTTTAATCAAGTCTGGAGAAACATCTGATTCATGGTGCGACCATTTGGATGAGAATAAGATAGAAGGAGATCAGACCTCAATATCCAGTCACTCTGTCAACATCAGCACCAGCAGAGTTCCAGAGAGGGACAGGAAGTGGAGGTGGATTGGCCAAAAGAAGAGCAAACACTAAGTAAGATGTATGTATGATGATATGATGAGATAATAGTGTTTAAACTCATCGATGCATCAGTGTCCATCAATGCTGGTCAGTTCCTCTAACCCTTATGTTGTGTTCAGGTCTCCTTTAACCCACGGGGGTCAAACTCAAATACAGAGTGGGCCAACATTTAAAAATGGGTACTAGTCGAGGGCCGGACTGGTTCAATGTTTATTGCAGAACTTATTGAAATGAACTTATTGCACATATTAAACCTGGAACTAACAAAGCTTAAATTATTGCCTATAAAAACAACATTAAACATTAAATAATCAGTAGCATTCATTTCTTATGGCTCTATCTGCAGCTTTTCCAGAGTCATTTCTTGTGAGTACATTTCCCCACAGGCCAACAACAGCTTCAACAAAACTATTCCCCTCAAAGAACAAACCAAACATGCCCTGTTGTCCTGAGAGAGAAAGTGCAGAAGGAAGCATCCATTGAACTCAGTGTGCTGCTCTGTGATGCTAGCTCAGATACTTGGCATCTCATCTCGGGTGCAAGGTCATCAATGTTTGGGCTCAGGCTCTGAGCGGAGGAGACCCTCAGGATGGAGTGAAGGTGTGCGTGCGATATACCGGAGGGCCAGATCTAATAGGAATTAGAAGTTATCCTGCGGGCCGAAATTAAATCCAACACGGGCCTGATTTGGCCCCCGGGCCTTGAGTTTGACACATGTGCTCTAACCCTTATGTTGTGTTCAGGTCTCCTTTGACCCTTTTCAAGTTAACATTATATAATAACTACCTCTAGTTTTGATCAGAACAAGGCTTCATGATATCCTCCACAACAGCTCTATGAACACTACTAAACTGATTTTGACCATTGTAGCCAAGTCTGTATAGTCTCTACAGACTTATAATAGTCAGGAGAAACAATCTTATTCACGATGATGTAACATGTTTTAAAATGAACCAAAAGTAAATCAATATTTAGTCTCTAGCAGAGTTCCAGAGAGGGACAGGAAGAGGCATTGAGAGCATTTTGGTGACTAAACATACGTTTTTGGGGCCTAGAAATCCATGGAGATCCACATTGCAGTTAATATGATTATATTAGGAAATCCAATATGTTGGACGTGTGACTCTATTAAAACCCGGTGAAAGGGCCGCACGTTTTCAAGTTCCGGTTGAAACTATTTGGGAAGTATCAACATGACATGAGAACAGGAGATTAAAAAGATGCCATCTCCACCTCGAAGCAGAAGTCTACTGAACCGTCACATCAGAGAGACGCTCTCATCAGGACTGCAGCAGGACTTTGTTCGGGACCAAAGGAAACATAATCGAGGATATGGGTAATTAAAGAATATTCCAGAGTGTATGTGTGTGTGTGTGTGTGTGTGTGTGTGGTGTGTGTGGTGTGTGTGTGTGTGTGTGTGTGTGTGTGTGTGTGTGTGTGGTGTGTGTGTGTGTGTGTGTGTGTGTGTGTTTTTGTGTCTAAGATACAACCTATAATATGTTTTTCTTTTCATTTACCAACATGTTTTCCTGATATGACTATATATGCGTAAGTTGCTTTTGAGGCTTGACCACTCCCTAGCAGCACATTATTTTAAATATCCAAATTCATTTAAGATTGAATCTTTACAATTGTAATAGATCAGCTCTGCTGAACATAGAGACATCATGTTTAATGCATTTGGGATTTTTTAGAGTGAATTAGGAAGAAGCTTGTAGTTTATCAATATGTTAACCACACATGATGAACTATTGTACTAAATACTAAATGTGCTTCATTTTCAACAATAACATGAACAAATGTTTTACTTGAAAGAGGCAGATTTGAGTTTGTCTAATTGGTCTTTAATCTCGTTTTAAAAAGTCAGCATGATACACTTCTCCGTGTGTTTTTAGTTCTGCTTTTCTGCTCCTGATTCTTTGCGTGACAGCAACTGATTTAACATCGTTGAGTTTGATTATAAACTCCATCCTTTAGTGAAATGGTTCCTCGTGCGTGTTGAACATAATGGGAGGGAAGCTGCATATCTGATGAAACAGTATGTGTTTATCTTCCAGAGGAAATCACAGGAGAAGCTGACTATGTGAATGCACCAGAAGGCCCTGCGGATAAAAAGGCACCGCGTCCAGGTGAGCTGTGAACACAAGCAACCATGAGATCTATTCAACAGTCATATTATTTAAATAAAATAGTGATGAAGGTTAAACATGTGAATATTAAATCAGCTCTTTTTATTTTATATTAACTGTTCATTCATGTTCAGTTACGTTACTCAGTCCAGAGGCCGCTTTTATTCAATGCATTTTCCACCAATAGCAGTGTGTTTGCTGATAGCCATTATACAATCCATCTTTTGTCCAATGGTTTTTGAAGTTTGATCATATTGGGAGTTAAATTCACATCAATGCACACAATGCATACTTAATGATAATAATAATGTCTTGTTTTTCATTACTGCACATCATTTATTACAATTCTATTTCTGAGATATTCAATGTAAAACTGCTCTAGCAGTTTTACATTGAATATCTGTATTTTAGTATTTAAAAAATAAAAAAGTATGTTATTATATTTTTCTTAAAATAGTTTTCTATCTGTGTTTTATTTGTATTTTAATGTATGTACCACAACACCAAGTCAAATTCCCCCTATGTGTTCACCTACCTGGTAATAAACTGTTTCTGATTCTGATAAACTTCATAAAAACACATTACGTATTTATTTTTCAGAGGACACCAAAAAAGGATCTGCCCCAGAAGGCACCGTGGATACAAAGGCATCCCCTCCAGGTGCATGATCAATACATTTCACTATTTAATACTGTTTACACGTTTAAAATAAACATAAAGGTAAAACAGTGAGATAGTGACAAAGGTTGAAATGGTTTAGCTATTTTCGTGGTGTGTTTATAATGTATTGAAAGCATTAGCTTAGACTGTTTAATGATTTTGGGCTTTAAAATAAAGCTAATTTCCTGAGCTTGCACTATTTTTTGTATTTCTTTTAAGTCTTGTAAATGTTTATATTACATGTAACCAACTTGTGGCCACAGTTTGAGATTAAACTGAATCTATGTAAATTACTTTAAAACCTTTGTTTAGGTTTTTTAACTGAATGCTTGTTTTTCAGGCTTGAGGTTTGTTCTTCTGATAGCAGTGTGTTGGATCATACTGTTAGCCATCATGGGTCTCCGTATCTACTGTGAGTATCTTCTGAGTGAAAGTCAGTTCAACAGTTTGTATTAGATGTGACCTGAAGCTCTGTGACTCCGTCTGTTGATCCAACATCTCCCTCTCGTTTGCTGCAAGATTCTGCAATAGGAGGCTGAAATGTGTGTTAAGGGAAGTGTGTGTGTGAAGGGGGAAGTGTGTGTGTGAAGGGGGAAGTGTGTGTGTGAAGGTGTCTGCTTGTGTTCTCCATATTTTACAAAAGGCAGTGGTTTGAAATGTCAGAGCTGTTGTAAGAAGTCTACAATACAGAGGAGACCAGTCGCTTTCCAAATGCATGTAGCTCGTTGCTTTGTGAAGCAAACATGTGAACCCTTTCTTCAATGTTTATCAAGAATATTCAAACACTCAGAGACACAAGCCTTACAGCCCAACACCTTCTAAAAACTAAATTGCATTATCACTGTGAATAGAAGCTATGTTTTTTATTTTGCAGTTGATACATTAAGCCATGAGAGCGAGCAGAACCAGTTAGAAGAAGTCTCAACTCTACGGGCAACCATCACAAAACTCAGCTTAAAAAATGCAAACTTGACGAGGAACATCCAGAATCTGACGGACCAGTTGGACAACCTGACACAAGCCTATACTGTCTCAGAAAGCAACGTCAAAGACCTTTCTGCAGGAGTCCAGGAGCTGGAGACCGAGAAGAAGAACTTGAAACAGCAAATACATAACCTGACAACAAACTGGAATGAGCTCAGCATCAGTTGAGCTCAGTGGAGCATCGATTCCTACTGCTTAGGAAACACCGGTATGTTCAGATCCTATATATTAGGTCATCATTACAATATGTTCATACTGCAGGCATGATGCTGATTGTTTGGACTCTGTTGTTTCAGATACAAAGTGTCAACCTTGTCAGAAGGGCTGGTTACTCACTCAGCCCAGCTGCTATGCGTATAATGACGCTCACCTTCCTAATCAAAAAACCTGGGAAGAAGCTCAAGAAGACTGCAGAGGAAATAATTCAGATCTGGCTGTTGCACATAATTCAGAGGAAAAGGTAAACCCATTAATATGATGCAATTAGAAAGTAATTGTGTTTTGTGTAGGTTTGAACACACTTTGGGTCTTTAGGTCAGTATGTGTTTATTACAGTTTAATGTTTAAATATCTGACAACTCTCTCTCTGTCTTCCAGGAAGCAATCAATACTAACAGCTTTGGAAATAGAGGATTCTGGATTGGTCTGAGAGTTGAAGATGGGGAATGGAAGTGGGTGGATGGAAGTGATCTGACTGAGAGGTAAGAGATTCATTACTAAACACTTTTAGTAATACAATCTATCAGCCTTTATCTAAACATCATGTTCTCTCCTCAGCTCCTGGATAGTTCCTCCTGCTGACGGTCGCTGTGCATTGTTTTTCAAGGACAGAAACAAATGGTCATCAGTGAGCTGTGGTGCAACACATCAATGGATCTGCCAGAAGAAGGCTCTCTCTGTTTAAACAAAGCAGTCATACTAAGAAGGTTACTGGAAACTCTTTGAGAAAAAGATGAATTACTTGTGAATAAAAACAAATTCTAAACAAAAATATAAAACAGAAAAAGGATAAAAAACAGTAATTCCAGAAA